TTTTGAATCTAAGTTTACCCTTTCATGTTTTCTTGTGGTTGAACTACGATGATCATACTTATTATAAGAGCATGAAAGGAATAGGCTGAAGGAGTACGTCTTGAGAGCTATGTTGGAGGATTGCGAAGTTATTTTTGAGCTACCTAGTGTAACTAGTCTTTAGTACTTGCTTGAACGATAACCTAGGTTTATGCTTTTAGTTTTGGATTATTGCAAAAATATGTGTCTATGTGTGTATAGAATTGAGATGTAGTTCTATTGAGGAACATTTATGGTTTTAGCATATTTATTTCCTATACATATATGTTATTGCATGTATATCCAAGAACTATTTGCATGGCCTAATGTATATCATTTATGTTTTTCGCTGCTAGTTGTTGAACTGTAAAGTGTAGAAACTTGTTAGATCATTGCACACACACACACACACACACACACACACACATATATATATATATATATATATATATGAGGGGGGTTATAATTATATCGGTATATCTTTTACTAAGTATTACACCGCTCAATAACTTTATATTAATTGTGAATTTTGTAAATTCAACCGTTAGATTGAAAGTTCATATCACTTTATACGTGTATATCAAATTTTGTTAAAATTGAACAACAACTTGAAGGTAATCAAAGTGTTCATATTTTAGTGTATTTTTAAATAAATATATTACGTCAATTTTGTTTTATAAAAATGAAGTATCAAATCATCTTGGATTAATATAAAATTTTGTATATATGATCTAAAAGATATGAACTTTCAATCTAACGGTTGGATTTACAAAATTCATATTTAATATGAAGTTATTGAGCGGTATAATACTTAGTAAAAGTTACACCGGTGTAATTATAAGCCCCCTATATATATATATATATTATTTTTGTTTGTTAAAAAGATTTTCTAAGTATTCATGAATATTTGTAGAAATTGATAAAATTTATGAATACTTGTTTGTTCAATCTGACATGATTTAAGGTCTATTGGATAGATTAAAATTTTGAAATTAGTCTCGATATGTTTTTTTTAAACAGAGTTAGAGTTATATTTTAAGTTGTCTACTATGATATAGTTTAGTGTACTACAATTTTAAAGAATTTAATGATAAGGCAAAAGTTGCTAACCAATCACAAATTATTGTTAATAAAAATTTTAGTTATTTATTGTAAAAGTTAACAAATCTATTTGTGATTAGATGATTCAGTGTTTTAAAACCCGGACCGACCCGGCCGGTCGGACCGGTTGGACCGGGAACCGGTGGTCTAGCCGGTCTGAATATGAAGTTAGATCGGTTATGCAGTCGACCCGTTTCAAACCGGATTGAACCGGTCAATTTTCCAGTTCAACCAGTGAACCGGTAGGTCAAACCGGTTCAACCACTTTTCTTTTTTTTTTAAATTTTTTTTAAGGGACCATAAATCACAAAAATAATAATGAAAATTGAATCTCTTAATGAAAAAGCAAGGAGTCTTATTAAATATAACAATGACTACTTGTTCTAATATATTTGTTTGCAATATATACAACTTAAATAACTTTTATAGTATATTATTAATTTTAAATTATATATTTAATAATTCAATATCTATGTAAATATTACATATATTATTTTGTGATATTAATTGCAAGCATATTATATATGTACATATTATTTATATTTTTAATTTGTATTAATATACCGTTTAACATGTAATTTTTTATGTATTTTTTTACAAAATAAAAATAAAAATAATTTTAAATAAGATACAAAAATTTAAATTTAAAATAAGATATGAATTTATTAAAATTTATAAGTATAAATATATTTAATATGAATATTTTTTAATATAAATAAATAAAAATCGAGTCATGCGATTCAACCAGTGACCCACCGGTTCAACATTTGACCCACTGACCCAATACCTTAACCGGTTCGATGACCGGTCCGGTTTTTAAAACTATGGATGATAGTGTACAACTAGTACACAACTTATTTTCTCTATTTTGAAAGAATAAATTATTTTGACACTCAAGATTTTGTGAAATTGCACAAACATTATCCATATAATAACTCACTTAATTAATTTTTTTGAAAAATTACATTAATACTCCTTAAATATTATATTAATCCCTCTTAATTAATTATTCGAAAACTATTATATTGTGACCTCTTATAAGAAAAATTATTGTAAACATAAAAAAATAGAAAAGTAAGTGCAATTTCATGAATTCTAAAAAAAAAATGTAACACTAATTTTTATTTTTTAAAATGATTATTTATTAATAATTTTTATATAATATGATACTAAATTATAATAATACTTTTTATTTTAAATATATTATAAAATATACCATATTTTATTTTATTTTTCTATTTTTATATATATAAATTAATTTTACATAATATTAATATTAATATTAATATATTGTGTCAATCTCATCTCATATAATTTGTTTGGACCTTAATTTTATATGATTAAACATATAATTTAGCCCTTACACGTGTCAAAAATTCTCAATTTGATTTTTATAAATAAAATTTTATAAAATTACTCCTTATACCTATTAAATATTACTAACACATAGTTCTTGATACTGTTAACTTCATTACACATTATTAATTTAATTCTTATACACATAATATTTTTTAATTTGGTCCCAATATATTAGTATTTGCTTAATTTGGTATCTACATATAAACGATCAAATTAAAAAATATGTTACATATGTAAGCACCAAATTAAGTATATGTGAAAAAGCTAACGATCTCATGAACTAAATCAATAAAATTTACATGTATAATAAAGACCAATTTAATAAACTTCTAGATATATAGAGACTAAATTGAGAATTTTTGGCATATGCATATACTAAATTATATGTTTCACCATTTTTTTTATTAAATCATGTTTCAGTTTAAATAAATGTCTAAATGAAAAAGAAAATCAAATCTAATATATATAAATTATCTCAATCTGTATCCGTTTCATACCTCATCACGCAAACTCAACAAGGAGACGATTTCCTGTAGAATAGAAGTTGAAGCTAAGCAAGAGTATAGTACCAAATAGTAATACCAATCCACGGCAAGTTGAAGAAGACCCCACTCTTCTCCAACCGGATATTTCCTTGCAATTTTGTTGCTGCCAATAATTGCCACATTAATTATTGACTTCTTCTAACTTTTAACTTACATTATTATATAACGCACGTGAAAAAAATGTTAAAGTGCAGTTTTTTTTTAGGCAAATAAAAAATATATTAAAAAGGAGTATAAGGGAAATGTTAAAGAGCAGTTAAGTGGTTTTAAAACTATATTTTTTTTTGCTAAAAAACCAAGATAATTATATTTTGATTTATGCATTATATAAGATAAAGAATTACTTTTACATACTAAATTTAATAAATAAGAACAGCCGTTTTTTAATATAATATCATAATTAAAATGCCTAATATAAATATGTTTTTTTTAAAGTTTTTTCTTAATATCAATAATAGTACGAAATATATCGGACACAATCACCAAATAATTTGAGTGATGTTTATATTTAGTGATACTATTCCCAATTCAAAGATGATATTTTTTTAACAATAAGTGCAATTTATATGTTTAATAGTACAACAAATGCAAAATGCATTCCCGTTTATGAAAAATGAGCGAATGTCTGGTTAATAAACTTCACAATATCTCAAAAGTATAAAATAAAAATAACAATTAATAATTTGTAAGAAAGTTGTTTTTTATAATTAAAACTTAAAAATACAATTTAATGTTTTTCAATTGAAGAAAATATAAACTTTTTTGTTATATAAAGAGATATATACTCTTTCCTATCGTGTCAATCATTATAAGAGTAAGATAATATTTTTGGTAACTATTACTTATCTAAGTTAAGTATTGAATCCTAATATTTAATTAAAAAGTTTAAGTATCGAATTACTTAAGTTAATAATTTTTTTTAAAAAAAATGTAATTTAATCTTCATGTTTAAATTTTACGTTATTCTAATTTCCAAATAGGAATTTATTATCTGCTACGAATCTTGTGCAAGAATCAATATCTCCCATACGTAAAATAAATTTGACGATAACACAATAACATACAAGTACTATGTATGACCCATCTCTCGTACATGGGAACTTCGAACTAAAATTCTCCCTTTAACTACCCACTTCTATTATATAAAATATTTCATCCATAAACAACATTGTCACATGTTAAAATATTAATTTTCTCTATTTCTTCGTAAGAAAATCTCTTTATGCATGTAATTGCCGTCATAAAAACAAAGTAAATAAAGCGTACATGAATACATAAAAAAAATTGACGACAACACGATAATGTATAAGTATACATAATATGTACAACCCATGTCTCGTACATAGGAATTCCAAACTAAAATTCTCCCTTTAATTACCCACTTCTATTATATAAAATATTTCATCTATAAACAACACTGTCACATGTTAAAATATTAGTTTTCTTAACTTATTAGTTTAGTTTACAAGAAAATCTCGAAACTTGTGAGTTGCTATGCTACCTGCTACCATCAACGGTATTAATTAGAATGCACTTACATAAAGTATGGCATTAATTCATAACAATTTTCCCAACACTGATAGAAGGTGGGATGATAGATCAAGCACATATGAATGTGATAAATTATTTCAATATCATTATCACATAAGATATGGTTTCCTAATTATTCCAACGTTTGCGGTTATAATCCCTACTTACATCTTCGGCATTTAGAGATGGAAACTAAAACTATATTATTTTCAACACCTAACTTCCATTCAAATCACGTTTCAAAGTCTAAACAACTAGCCAACGAGCTACCCGCCACGCATTCTTCTACCTTCCTTTCTAGGAAGACTAGAGAGCCCACTCTTAACTTTGCATTTTCCATGACCGCTCAAAAACTACAATATTATTATTATTATTATTATTATTATTAGAATAATAATCAACTTGTCCAATGAAACTCAAATACCTCGCCATTTTTTATGGTAGGACAAACAGAGACCATACATGGGTTTTAATGTTCTAAAAAATAAAAGACTGTAGCCTTCCAAATAAATTGGATTCAGACTTCATAGTCAAGCAAAATGATATATACCGTAGAGTTTGCTATAGAGATCATGTTGGGAATAGCAACAAATTGAAAAGTACCAGTGCCAAAAACTTTACCCCAAGAGAGTAATGGGGTTTGCCAAAAAAATTGGTGAGTATCAGCTTGGTAGGACAATAGGAGAAGGTACATTCTCTAAGGTTAAGCTGGGTGTCAATGGCAACAATGGTCAGAAGGTTGCGATCAAGGTCATTGATAAGCATATGATCCTGGAAAACAATCTTAAGAATCAGGCAAACCTCATCTTTGTCTTTTTTTTCCCCTTTAGCAAGTCGTTTATTTCTTAATACATAGGATATGAAGGCTATGCCATGTTTCAGGTTAAAAGAGAAATCAGAACAATGAAACTTCTGCACCATCCAAATATAGTTAGAATTCACGAGGTATATATATACCTGCTGGTGTTAGAATTCTAGTGAAGTTTGAAGATTCTTGGTAATACTCTATTTCCAATTAACTTCTTTAAAACAGGTTATTGGCACAAAGACGAAGATATACATTGTAATGGAATATGTATCAGGAGGACAACTACTAGACAAGATGGTGAGAATCAACAATCTCTCCAAAATTAGAACAGTATGTACTTATTTATATTCAGTTTTCAATTGTGATGATTCATGTGCAGTCCTATGGCGAGAAGTTGAATGAATGTGAGGCAAGAAAACTATTCCAGCAACTTATTGATGCCTTGGATTACTGCCATAACAAAGGGGTTTATCATCGAGATCTCAAGGTAAGCTCAAAGCAATCTGTTTTTCTGTTTGAAATGGAGTTTTGGAACATAACTTGAATCTTGGCATACCATTGTAGCCAGAAAACTTGCTTCTTGACAACAGGGGAAATCTCAAAGTGTCTGATTTTGGATTAAGCGCGTTGCAAAAGGTAGAGTAGCCTTGTTCCTTTGAATCATATCCTCAGCTCCATAATAAATATTTTTGACAGAGTCAGATTTTTATACATTATCAGCGTAATGAAGTCTTAACCACAAGGTGTGGATCCCCATGCTATGTGGCACCTGAGGTAAGTGAAACTATTTTCAATATAGCATTTAACTAATAGCCTTATTGAATACAGAAGTATTGTTAAGAGTTTTTTTTATTGAAAAAGTTATTTATTTTCGGGAGAAAAGTTTTAAAAAACTCTAATGAGCCTGTATACAAACAAACTCTAGATCTGGTTTATCAAGTCAGTTTCCTCTTTCTTGGGAAAAAGAGCTAATGACTGCATTTGATTATGGTAAAACTGTATTATTGATTCTACAATCCTTTCATGTGCAGCTGCTATTGAGCAAGGCGTATGATGGAGCATCTGCTGATGTTTGGTCATGTGGGGTGATCCTTTTTGAATTACTTGCAGGTTATTTGCCATTTAATGACCAGAACTTGATGAGCTTATATGCAAAGGTATAGTATAAAGAAAACACCTAGTGTCTGTTACACATAATTCACATTTTCTGATGACTTTCATGTGTGAAAAGATATGGAAGGCAGAATATAAATGTCCCCCTTGGTTTACTCACAATCAAAAGAAACTAATTGCCAAAATACTTGAACCACGTCCTGTAAAGGTAGAAATTCAAGAACTAATACAACCCTATATACATAGTGTAATTAATAGGTAGTGATTTCTTACCCTTCCTAACTATCTTTCACGCAGAGGATAACTGTACCAGATATTATTGAAGATGAGTGGTTTCAAACAGATTACAAGCCTGCTTTTGCATCTGACTTTGATCATAACATTAACTTGGATGATGTTGATGTTGCTTTCAATTCAATTGAGGTAATTTGCTAACAAGTAGTGAGTTGGAAAATAGTGACAGAAAATCTCACTTGGAGTCGTTGACCAAATTGTCTAATAATTTGTGCTATAGGAGAATATCACAGAGCCAACTATATCCAAGTCCTCAAGTTTCATCAATGCGTTTCAACTAATAGCTATGTCTGAGGACCTTGATCTATCTGGCCTTTTTGAAGAACAGGTAATCTGAAAGAGGATTCAACTTATCTGTATGTCTTATTCAACTATTACAAATGCTAATGTTGCGATTTGCAAGTTTCTTGTTTAGGATGAAAAAAAGCAGAGAACAAGGCTGGGATCCAAACACACTATCAATGAAACAATAGAAAAAATAGAGGCCGCTGCAACAGATGTAAGAATGTCGGTAGAGAAAATGAACAACTTTAAGGTATAAACTATGCTACTTTGATTCTTAAATGCATGCATGTGAAAATGTATTATGTACCTTTTTCTTTTGTTGAAAATGTTACCTTTTGTTAGAATCTGGTAAAAAAAAAAAATTTTCATTCTTGATGTCAGATGAAAATGCAACCAAAACAGATGATGACCAGGTGTTCTAGATCATATTCATACCTATCAGCCCAGGTAACTTGCTCATTCTATTGTTACATACACTCCCTGGTTTCCTGTGTTTTTCGTTGGTGAAGAAAGTTCAACTCTTCGCGTATGTGTGACAATTATCAGGTGATTGAAGTTGCTCCAACTCATTGTGTTGTAGAAATATCAAAATCCGCAGGAGATCTAAGAATGTACAACAAAGTAAGAAAACATCCTCTCTTAATTGAATATGCAAGCTCATGAATTTAGTTACTGATTTTAATTTTGGTCATCAGTTTTGTGAAAGTCTATCAAATTTGTTGAAAAAAAAACCTGGTGTGCCATCACAAAGCCAAGACTCTGTAGTTCCATTCGCCAGAAAAAAGCAAGATGCTCAATGGTAGTTATAACTCAATGTTACATTACTGAATGGTGATGATATTGTTGATTGCCACCATTTGCTTATTGGCCTTTTTCAATTAACTTTTTCAGTTATGAAGATCTAAAAAGTGAAGATAGCAAACTTCTTCGTGGCTATAAATCTGCTTGAAGATGGACTGAATCCAAGTCTTTTTCTTTCTAGTGAAGTTCAGTGGAAGTTTGACAAGGATAAAACAAAGTAAAAAATAAAAATCCAGGACAAATTTTCGCTATAAGTATTTCTTCTTTTCTCCTTTCCATATACCTTCTTTCTGTTGTTCTTTTTCATTCATTACTCTCTTCATTGTAAAATAGTGAGAGATGTAAATTGACATTTGCACAGCACATCCTGTGGAGAATAATAATAAATGTGAATAGCAATTTGCAACGAGTTAAAACGTTATGTGCAATACTCTGCCTAATTAAGTTGGACAAACAAAAAAGTATAAAAGATTTCGTTGACCTTATTTTATCATTTATTTTCTGCAATGTTTACGTCACCCAACTGATGTCAGTTATAACTTATAAACTTTATGTCACTAGCTGTCGTCCAAACATCGAAGGATGAAACATGCAAGTATGCAACAGCTTTGGTTCAAAAGCATCAAGGCCAATCTAAGTGACTCCAATGAGGAAATAACATTTGAATTTCCTTTTTATATATATATATATATATATATATA